ATCAAATTTAATTCATTGTGTATTGTTTGTTTGAATCTCCCTATTAGTGTTTAGGAGTGCAATTGATTAGTCTCTTATTGGCATATGTGCATCCTGTGAGGATTGCCTCGATATTGCCTTGTCAGCGACGATGGATACAATGGAAATTTCCAGCTTTTTTTTCAAGTTAGATGTATCGACTACAGCAAGAATTGGAACTACTAAAAGAAAAACCAGGATAATTGAATGGCATTATAATTGATGGTCAATGTGAAATTACATTAATATCTGTTGCTTATAATCCATTCTACTTTTGTAGTCGTGAACACAGAAAACTGAGTAATCAGAATATCAGTAGTACGACTGATAAAGTGGACGCTCTCTCTCTACCAATGCATACCTTGAACATAGATTACCAGTGATGCAGTATTATACGTCATCAATAATATCAAGACATGTATAAAACCATGAACATGAATGAATTCGGATGGAAAAACGTCGAAATTCTAAAAATGTTAGACAACTTCCACATGTATAGCATTCAGATCAATTGGCCGTCAACAGACATCGACATCAATCCAATGTATCAATCCACGTGAAAGACATAGACTAACTACACGATCAGAAGTCAGCCAAAAAAAACACATTCAATAGAAATGCAAGAATAAATGAGGACTAAATTACCCATAAACATAATCAATCATAAACCACACCATTTAAAGCTTGTGGAATAGCTGAAAAATTCACAACCACATAATACAGGAGCAGATAATATTGTCCAGAAGGACAACTGATAAATCTTCATCATTAAACCAAATAGATTAAAGAACATACCAATAAAAGCAACCAGCTAAATTGAAGATTTCTGGTATCAGTCATGATAAATCTGTTTGTTAATTAACTTCTATATTTATTCTAAGCATATTGAATTCATATATTCATATAATTATCAACATTAGTGAATACTAAACACATAAGTAGTGGCAGTTTTAAATCAGATCCAATCACTGCAATCAGAAGTATTAATAATAATAATAATAATAACCAAAAACATAATCATCAAGATCTTTTAAGAGAAAAAATCAATTATTCACTGTTACAGAAAGAGAGTGAAAAGTAGATATTGGCGTTGAAAATCGAGATAGACAAAAATATACTACTGAAATGTAAATAAGTAGATAAACATAAAACTATTGCTTTTACAAAATTATATAATATAGAATGATCTCACACAAGAGATATGTATAGTATGCATGTAATCTCATGCCTGCCTTTCTCCATGTATATTCACAGGAGGATAATTAACAAGTGCAGTAACATACACATAACGAACTATTCAAAACAGAGAGAAACTAAAACGTTGATCATCAGGTCAAGATAATAATATTTATGTACGTGAACAGTTAAGCGTTATGTAAATCAAATGAACACAGAAAGGAAAATTGAACGACAACAACAAAATCACTAATGAAAATGAAATATTTAAGGAAAATAAGAAATGATTTTGTTTATATAATTGGAATTGTTGCGAATACTTTTTTGTGGGTTTGTATAAAAAAAAACAGAGACGGGGGGATCATAGAGATAGATATATAAATCGATTAATGTAATCATTCCAAAAAGCGTATACTCATCTTTTGTTCAATATCCACATTATCAAATGCCTATTTCAGAGCATTAATAAAATAAGAATAAGAAAGAAGTGTATAACTTTTCAGAAATTAAAATTATATTACTGAAATCTTCAAGGAGAATTACCAATGATTATGGTTCAGTATGTTAAAAACTATGTCAAATAATTCATTACAAGATACTCAAACTCCTTGATTGTATTCTTTTGTACAATCGTACAAATAGTGTAATATATTTCCTTACGTTATACAGGTTTTAACTGGCTTAATATGGATGGTTAATTTCATATCTTTCGGCTTATAGTCCATGACAGTAGTAATTAATCAAGAAATTCGAATGGAACATCATTACAAAAGTTTGTATGCTATACTCCTGTTTTTACGCCCTCAAATGCCCTGGTAAGGCCGACAGTGAGGATAGTCAGCTCTCTCTCTCTCTTGAAATCCTCTTACATGGTCACGTGCATACAACCACTGACTGGGAAGTACTAATCACTGTCTTCTTGCGGACGGTGCGTTTTCCTAAGAAATTGAGAGGACGAAAGCGAATGTCCGGCGCTTTAACTAGGTTGGTGGACATGGAGAGTTCATCTAGGAGAGTTGAAAAACCATGCTTTCAAAACAATGATGCACATGGGCTCTAGGATCCTGAAGGAACAAATGGCGTATGAACCAATTGTTGGTGACCGGTTGCCATGGGACAAAGTATCCTGACGTTACTCCACTGCCTTATGGATCAGACCTTTAGGTCGAAGGCTCCGGGTGTGGCCCCCTAAGAAAATCACCTGTTTCGGTTTGAGCAGCCAGGCAGCATCCCAGTCCTCATACAAATCGAATGATTTATGTGGCGCATATGTATTTGATGCCTCCTTGTACCAATGTTTATGTGTTTAAATAAATAATAAACTCCTGTTTTTTTTTAGTTGAAAAAACGACAGTCGATAATAATGGTATGGATGTATTAAATACAACATATAATTTGGATCGAGTTTTGTTCTCTGAGCTGGATGGTTTGTTCATGGAGGTTGCATCGATATTCTGAACGACACCATCAGCACAAACTTAAGATAGAAGTGAAGTGTTCGAATTTCTCCACATGTGGTTCTTGTTGACCTTAAAACTGTCATGACAAGTTGTGAACCATAAATGGAGAAATTCGAACACTTCATTTCTACATGAAGTTTGTGCTGACCATTTCGTCCAGAAGAACGATGAAAGCTCTACGACTAAACCATCCAGCTCAGAGAACAAAATTCCATCAAAATCATTCAACTGATCTACAAATCTTCTCCACCATCTCACAATATAAGATTAAAGAAGAAGCGAATGTAATCAAAAATATTCACTGATGAAAATGAATAAGAGCTAATGATTGTCGAAAAACTTTTGAAGTTAAAAATACAGATCAACTTAATGGTTTAAATGTTAAACACTTACAACGAAACCTAAAGGTCTTGGATTCAACTTCTAGTCAAAGTTGTGGATAAGCACTTCTGAGGAGTTCTATACTAAGATGAAACAGTTGTAAGTGCTTCCTCAGTTTTCGATGATTGCTTAAGGTCAGTTCGTAATGTTAAACTATGAAAAACTTGTTTAAATGCTCACAAGTTCATTTTGGTGATTAAAAATCTCGTCTTTCAACTAATCGATCACATTTCCATGTATCGCATCATCTAATTCGATTTTGATAGTTAAATAATATCACTAGAACCTGGGACACACAATATGATTTAAAGCAAATACTGAATGAAAACAGCACCTAGTAAAATGATATTACTTATCTCACACATAAACATACAAAGGTAGGTTTAAAGAACAATAACGAATAATGTAAGAATTGTTTGATACAATCAAATATTTTGGATAAAAAAACTAATAATCAGCTGATAATTAAGCTGAAATTGGTAATGAGTAGGTGGAACATAAAATCCAATGCTTGAAGAATGCCATATATTTATACCATAGAATCAATACCTTACATACTTACTATATTTATATTACACTAATTTGAGTTTGAGTCATATTTCAAGTATGAAGACAGTACAGCAGTATGAAGACAGTACCTGATTACGCAAACTGGTGCCCCCAAATGCCCTGGTATGGCCGGGAGTGGGGTGGGTTCGCCCTTCCTCCCGAAATGCTCTCACACGGCCACGCGTATATAGCCTCTGCCAGGGAAGTCCTACTCACTGCCTTCTCGTGGCGGGGGTGTTGTTTACGAAAATGAGAGGACGAAAAGCGAATGTCTGGCGCTTTAACCGGATCCCAAACCAATGGTGCACATGGGCTCCAATATCCTGAGGGAACAAATGGTGTATGAACCAATTGTTGGTCACCGACTACCATGGGACTGCATCTCCTCACGATGCTCCACTGCCTCGTGGGTTAGACCTTTAGGTCAAAGGCTCGGGGTGTGGCCTCCTAAGAAAACCACCTGCTTCGGTTTGGGCACCCGGGCAGTATCACAGCCCACACACACAAATATGGTGTGGCGCATATATATTTGGTGCCCTCTTGTACCGATATTTATGTGTTGAAATAAATAAAATAAATACCCAAACTGGTGTCGGTGGAGTGGGGCTCGGATCTCAATCAGTTGATCACAACGGTGCACCTGGTATGTATTAAGATCAGTTTAAGTTGTCATACCCTATTAGCACAAAGAGATGGGGATAGTCAACCCAAATACTAGAACAGAAGATGTAGTAGGAACTCGAATCTGGGACTTGGAGAATAAAAGTCGAACGTCTTAACCGCTACATCACCTCTTTACATATTCATTACATCAGATGAAATCCTAATTACCACCCAGAAATCAGTGAGTAATATATATGTCTAGATTAATGAATATCAGAAACATTTCCTCAAATTCGAAAACCAGACACAGGCCTTATATAGTTAGGGCTTTGTGATATACTCATAATTACGTGAGTACTGGTGACGGTACTATTGACCGGTTACGCAAACCGAATTTTTAGAATAAGGATTTGGATATAAAAATAATGGATGAGAATATAATTTATGGACAACCTTTGAGCAACGTTAAAGTGACCTCGAGAGTGTCTACCTAATTAGTAAGGTTAAATGAGGGTTAGAAACCAGTGTCAGTCAGTCAGTAACAGTGAGGAATTCGAATTATGATTTACAGTTGATGGTTAAGGTTAGGAATTAGATTTAAGGCTTTCATCACAAACTGACATCAGCTATAATGCCAAGACTCTATTTAGCCAAATAGATGAATGAACTTTGCGCCAAAATCCGAGATTTGTTATCTTATACCTGATAGGTTCGTTCCTAAATTATAGTCGTCAAATAATGATAAAAAACGAATGATATATTCATTGATAAAACTACATCCACAGGAGCATATATATAAGAAATAAAACATACTTGTACAAATTCTGCATACGATATATAGCAATCACCATCAAGATCCGCTTCAGCCATTGTTCGTTCACCGATATTATTGATCTGAAATTGATTGATTTCTCATGAAGTTAACATATATGGTTATACATCTTAAATTATATAAATAACCGATACTATCTTAACTAATTATAGGAGTTACATCATTGTTATTTTTGTCAACAGATTCAGCATTATATTCACTTGATGACGTTTACTTGTATCTTCCCAGTGTTATTTAGGACAGCACTTGATCAGTTTCTTGTTGGCAATGTGCGGACTGCCTCAATATTGCCTGAATTCACAAGCTTTATAAGCAAAGATGGATAGTGGCTAGCAGTGGAATCCAGGACGCATGTTTCGTCCTATTTGGGACTCGTCATCTGGATATACCTGCATCTGAGAGTTGATGTTCACTGTGGGACTCGAACCCAGATGGATAGTGGCTAGCACTATCAATCTTTGCTTATAGAGCTTGTGACTTCAGGTTATATCGAGGCAATCCGTACAGTATGCACATATGCCAACATGAGACTGATCAATTGCAGTCCTAAATGACAATGGGAAGATACAAGTAAAACAACACCAAGTAAATTTAAAAACTTCACCCCATTGCACAGGTAGGTGGTTATCAGGATTCAGTAGCTAAGTGGATAACGCGATGATATTTGAAGCAAATAGTAATGAATTCGAGTCTCGGAGTGAACATCAACTCTGAGATACAGGTACATCCAACTGACAAGTCCCAAATTGGACAAAACGTATATCCTGGATACCACTGATAGCCACTATCGATCTTTGTTTATCAATCCAACATTATTTTACAAGTGTAAATAACAAAACTTTCTCTATATGAAATTTTTACCTGAACAGATCACATTATCATATTCTATGATAATACAATATACCACTTTTATTTCAAATGTGATATTTATCTTTGATAGAACATTCTTTATATGAAATTTAATATGAATTTTATGGTTAGGGTAATACACAGCATGTGTTTTATATTAGTTATAATGTAAAAATCTGAGGGTTTTGTTTCTGTATGTGTGTGTGTGTGTATTTTCTGTGAATACTCATGAAATACAAGTAAAATCTACACATAAATATGAGCGTGTTTTTTTTTGGGGGGGGTTCAAGTGTTTGTTATACTTTTTTTTCTTTTGAGAAGGTGAAGTAGATTTTTATTTATCTGTCATTAGTTTTATTTATTTGAACATATAAATATTGGTTGTGGTCCGCGTGACTTTCGTAACCGATGGTTGGAGACTCTTGGTGACATGGCTGAGAATCGATCACAATGGCGTAGGTGTACACACTGTCTTCCCTTAAACTAAGAGATTAAAATCACTTCATATCTTTCTTTTTACTAACTAATTCTTTCTTCCTGTACTGTATCCTTATATGCAATCTTTCTTTTATATATTACCACCTTTGACCTAACCACTCCTATGAATCCGGTGTTCATCTTGCTGTGCTAATGCGATATGGCAACCTGGACCGATGCATATATGTACCTGGTCCTACGTTGTAGCTGACTGACTGGTACAAAGAGAGCAACGAAAACATATGCACCATACAAGTCAATTGATTTGTGTATGGGATGTGATACTGCCCGGTTGCTTAAACCGAAAAAAGTGATTTTCTTAGGGATCATATCCAGAGCCTTCGAACTAAAGGTCTGATCCACAAGACATTGAAGCAATGTCAGGAGATGCAGTCACATGGTAGCCAGTACTCTAGTGTGTTTAATAACAACAAACTACTAATGTTTTTGCAGAGGTTTGTATTTTCCCATTGTTAATATTCCGAACTAATATTCGACTAGTCTCTATTGGCATATATGTACCCAAGTAGGATCTCAAGATGTTGCATGTATTTATAGGTTTTATCGCAATTTTCGTATTTCAGCTACCATAGAAATCCAGATCGTGTGTTTCGCTTTGTTTGAATGTTATTATATGGACGTATCTGAACTTCAGTGTTGATTTTCGCACTAATACTCACACTGTTGTGATTGCTAGATCCTCAGAAATCACTTGACAAACGTCTTATTTTTGTCATTTTATTGTGGAAATGTGAATTTTTCATTTTCGCGACAAAGATGCTCATTTTTACTTTCAGTTTGTATTTCCCACGCGGGAGGGCCTTAAATGCGATAGATTTATTTTCTGTTTCAGTACGCTATTTTGTGACGTTTTTCAAGGACATTACGCATGAGTTGTATAACTGTTTGTCCGCGCTTCCCGCCGCTTGTAGAATATTTATTTCCCCCGACTGAATCTGGTCTTCTCCATCTAGTTAGCGGGGGTGGGGCGTAATAGAATAGGTTAGATTGTCCTGTTGTTGTGTTGCTGATTTTCGTTCCGTTCGTCAGTTCCAGGTGATATCGTAATCTCTTCAAACGTAGCATGAACCACGTACTCCTTGCTTCAAATGGCAACGTGTTGTCTACTCATTAAGCTACGAAATTCAGAAAGCCATTCGTTCACTCAACAGGATCATAATCTAACAGAGACTGGTAACATTAAGTCCTGAATATAAAGAACAATAAAATGTAAACCCCTACAAGTAATAATAATAGTAAGTATCACACTCTTTAACTAATTTTTAAATACAGTGATCTTGAGTGCTGTTAGAGGTATGAGGGCAGTTATCACTACCCGGTTACCCACACCATGGGAGGGATTTTTTAGACGTACCTAAAAATGAAATTGGGCTAAAGGTAGCGTGACTACAGTCCCAAAGGACAATTGCTTGAAGTCGGTCACATACGACCTTTTTGTGGGTAATTTTTGTGTTAGCTCCGTACTTGTTGAGACCTTACCACCGGAGACGGATATCCATGGGATAAGGCGAGGTGTGCATTTTTAGGGTCCTTTTCTAACCCCACCCCTCCTTGTGGGGAGACAGCATCGCTATTATGCCAGTTGTCTGAAGGGAACACCTTACTCTCGTCACACTTCTGTACAGTCAGCAGTACAACTTCGCCTTCGGACCTTGGGTTTGTTGCTTTTAGTCTTACCGCTCTTCAACCGACCTGTCTGACATGGTAGGACCTTGAGGAACGGTTGTTTCAGCCAGTATAGCTCGGTTGCTTCATCACGATAGGCACGCCCGACCACCACCACGTCAAGGTCGCAACAACGGTAGCAACGGTAGTAACAACAAAAATAAACTTAACATAAAATTACACAAACCTGTTCAACAGTAATATTAGCACCGACCATCATTTGTAACATTCCCAATAATTCATTTCTTGATATTTTACCATCCATATCTAAATCATACATACCGAATAGAAAGCGTAATTTTGCATCACGATTATTAAATTGAGTAGATTGTTGTGGTCGAACTTTACGAAATCTTGCTAGTTTACGTACAAATTGACGAAAATTCAATTCACCTTGACTGTACATGTATAGATTTTTATTTTAACAAAGTAAACAAACAAACAAACAACAACAAAAAAGTTTAATTTTTTACAACAACAACAAAAACAAAAACAAGCACAAAATAGAGAAAAATTAATAAAAAAACATAAATATGTTCAATATTCAATTTGTCATTATACAAGTTCATTATTGTTCATTGTTCATACTGTACATATTTAATCATGAATGATAATGGTATTTAAAAATTTAAATCAGATATCCATGTATATCAATATACTTTATGGTTTCACCGGAATGAAACATATATACAATTATTCTATGTATCAATCGTGTAAAGAAGCCTCATTTGCATAGAAACTTTAATTATTAAAGTTGAAAAAACAAAAATCAGAACTACTGATCGAAAAATAAACCCCTGTAAAATAATATCGAGAAATGAAATAATCAAGTTTTCTTTATTTATTTATTTAAATAGTTATGACTTTGATTATGTGTCATGGTACGGTCGAGGGTGGAGAGAGACAGTTCTCTCTCTCTACCTCTCTCTCGAAATGCTCTTATATGGCCACGTGTATACAATCACTAATAGGGAAGTCCTACTCAATGCCTTTTCATGGCATTACTGTTCTTTAGGAAATTGAGAGGAAGAAAAGCGAATGTTTGGTGTTTTAACCGGGTTGGTGGACACTGAGAGTCCATGTGGGGGAGTTGGAAAACTCTGATTCCAAACCAATGGTACACATGGTCGGTCACTGGCTATCATAGGACTGCATCTCCTTATGTTGCTCCTCTGCCTTATGGATCAAAACTTTAGGTCGAAGGCTTGGATTGTGGCCTCCTAAGAAAACTACCTGCTTCGGTTTGGGCACCAGAGCAGTATTATAGCCCACATACAAATCAATTGACTTGTGTGGTGCATATGTATTCGGTGCTCCCTTTGTACCAATATTTTTGTTCAGATAAATAAATAAATAGTGATTCTAATCATGTCAATTTATTGTGGGAAGTGAAATCAAGTTGATCAGTTATATCATTAGGACCATAAATCGACTTTGATAACGATAATCATGTTGACAGTCGTAGGAACTAACCCAGACCATTCATTAAAGTAGTTGATACAAGTAATCGAAAGAACCAAATTCACTTAACTACAGTATAAACACCGAGTTATTTTAGGTACTTAGATATGAACCATACTCTAGGTAAGGAGGTCAATGATACTACCACATTGCCAAAACCGAAGTGAGTGGACAGGAGTTCGAATCTGGGGACTGAGTGACTGAAAGTCGAACGCCTCATTTATTAAGCCACCGCCCCTCATTGAGAGAATACGATGAACCAGAAAACTACTATACACAAGGAGGAACTGACAATCCGATTAGACATAACAAAGAACTCTTCAACAGGATGCATAAATGATCTCCCTAAGAAACTCCATATATCATGGTGTTAGGATGAAGCAAAACACGAGATCATGCTTTCATTCATCATAATATTTATTCAGCACATGGGTCAGTCAATCAGTCAGTAACAACGTAGAACTTCGTATGTACGTACATCAGTTCGAGTTGCCACACCACATTTGCACAGAGATGCAGTTGTCGACTTAAATCCCGTAGTGGTAGAGGTAGTAAGAGTATAAACAGTAATCGGAAACATTAGGCCTTGAAGATGTTATTCAAGGAGTATAATACAGTGAAATAAATTTGGAAAGAGAAAAAGAGACAAGGAAGATTCCGAAGATTAGCATTTGGGAGAACACAAATAGTGGATGCACCTGCGCCATTGCAAACGATTTTGAGCCTTATCATTCAGGGTTTCTAACCATCGGTTACTATCATCTCGCGGTCCCCAACCAGGTAGTCTACATTTACAAACATGACTCAGTCCACTTGTCAGTGACTTCATGGACTTATGCCATGCTTTGGTCTGACCGCCCCTAGCTTTCTTAAAACCTACCCCTACACCATAAAACATCGCACGTCGGGGCAGTCGGTGGTCGGGCATACGTAATACATGTCCTAGCCATCTCAAATGATGAAGTTTCACCACTTCATCAATTGATTTACCATCCTTACCTACTAACTGTTTCCTAACAATTGCATTACTTACTCGATGATTCCACGATTTACGAGCAGTATTTCGAAGACACCTATGATCGAATACTAGTAACCTATGAATATCCTCTAATCTTACCAACCATGTTTCACTGCTATAAAGTAGGACAGAACGAACTGCTGCGCAGTAAACAGGTCGTTTTGTTCATAGACGGATATCTCGCCTACGCCATAAATGACGCAAGTTGGCAAAAGCTAGTCGAACCCTCTGTAGCCATGCTGAAATTTCATCGCACACCAGACCACAAGGGCTGATGAGACTTCCAAGATAAGTGAAGCGATCGACACGCTCAACTACTTCAATCCCTATCATTAGTTCGGGTGTCGGTGCAACCCAATCCTGAAGCAACATTTTGCATTTCGAGGGGGAGAATCGCATCCCGAACATGCTAGCATTGTTGCTTAGAGTGGTCAGAAGACTGCATTTTGTCAGCATCTTCACCAAATAGAACTATGTCATCAGCATATTCTAAGTCAACAAATGAATCTCCTGGTAGAAGTTCAACCCCTGGAAATTTCGATGAGGAAAATGTCATCTCTAAGTGCACGTCAACTACAAAGTTAAACAAGAATGGAGAGAGTGGACAGCCCTGACGAACACCACTTGAGGTAATCAATTCTCACTCGACCAGCTGTGTTCGAGTAAAGAGCCTGTATAAAGTTGGTGTACTTCTTTGGTACTCCTTTCAGTGACAAACACAGCCATAGAACCTTACGATCAACAGAGTCGAGTGCCGCCTTAAGGTCGAGAAATACTACGATTATGGGGCGTCTGAATGTGTGTCTGTGTTCTAGGACCTGACTTAGTGTGAATTTCGGGTCTATACAACCACATAGAGGTCGAAAACCAGCCTGATTTTCTCTAGTCTGTTCTTCACGAGCTTTGGTTAGACATCGAAGTATTATTGAAGCTAATATTTTAGACTATGTTAGTTAAACTGATTCCTCTGTGATTGTCACAAGAGGACTTTTGTCCTTTCTTATAGACTGGCACAATCAGTGATTGAGACCAGTCAGATGGGAGTACGTCCAGTTCCCAAATTCTACCTAAGACCTCGGTTAATCTCATTGCTAATACTGGACCACCATCCTTAAAAATCTCAGGAGTAAACCTGTCAGGGCCTGCTGCTCTCCCTCGTTTCAGATTTCCTATAGCATTTTCAACTTCGTAAAGAGACGGAGGACCTACATTAACTTGCCATTCAGGTTGACTGGAGATCATGGGAAAACGAAGTGTGGCTGAAGGCCAGTTGGACTGATCCCTAAAGTGTTCTGCCCATCGATCCAATCTCCTCGATTGAGAATGTATAATATGTCCATCTTTCTCTGAGATTGTTTCGCTAACAGTCAGTTTCCTAATACCGGTTTCCTTAACGAGTCTGAACAATTGTCTGCTATTACCTATTGCCGCTGCCTTTTCCATCTCTCTTGCTTTCGCTACCCACCACTGTTCACGATCATTGCGTAGACTTCTTGTCAGCTTGTGCTTAAGCTGACTCCGCTCTTCATTATGTTCAGAGTCAGGTGGAATGAGTTTCCGAGCATCTATCAGTGCGATAGATGCTGCTGAGATCCAGTGTTGCTCCCTAACATTCTGGTTTACCTTACTAGCAGATATCACTGCTGTTTCCACAGCTTTTCGGATATCATTCCATGCTGCATCGGGGTGGGCATCACATACATGGCTGCCTAACTGTTTGCCTAGTTGTTCCTGAAATATACTCTTAGCTTGGCTATCATTAAGTAGGCCCCTAAGAGGTTTCCTTGCAGCGTCTTTCCTACGTCCAGTAAGACGCAAGCAAATACGCACTCGCACTAGAGCATGATCTGAATCTAAGCATGTGCTCCAGAATGAGCGAGTCTTCTATCGAGACCCTCCATCGGTGGCTGATAGCGATGTGATCTATTTGGGTCCAACGTTGGGACGAATTAGGGGGTCGCCATATTAAAAGATGTTTTTCCTTATTCTTAAAGTTAGTATTTGCAAGGAACAGGCGGTTATCTGAGCATAGCTGCAACAGACGGTCGGCATTATCTGTTCTTTGAGCCACGACACCATAAGATCCACCTAGGTGTCTTTCCCTATCGCTTAGTTTACCTACTTGAGCATTAAAGTCACCGGCCACTATTACTACATCAGGGCGCCTAGCTTTTCGGAGAAGGTCGGAAAGCTTTCTGTAAAACTCATCTTTTACATCATCTAAGCTGCAGTCAGTGAGAGAGTAAGCAGAGACAACGAAGAGGCATGGGAGGTTCACTTTTTATTAATACAGTGAAAAATCCATTCTGTATCCCGACTATATATATGTTACGTATGGTATTTCTTGACGATTGTTCATATGCCAGTGAAATATGTACATAAAAAAATGTATTTAGTTAATAAATCGTAGTCATGTATTGAGAGAGTGAATAAAATATCTATCTGCCAGTAATTCTACCTTCTTTTTAAGTTTTGCAAGTTTCAGCTTACTCACTTGTTTCAGTTTTTCATTTTCACTTAAACCACTGAGTTGGAGAAACATAATGGTCTCCAACTTTCTCCAATCAGCTCATGATATAAAGGTTTAACTCTCCGTATGATTGAACTTAACTGTACAAGGCTGACCATTATAATTTCGAGTAAAAAGATTTCCCCCATTAGTATTCAACATCATACCCAAGGAGTTGACTCTTATGATCGTACTATTCCATTCAGTATTTACGTTCCATCAGCTGGATGCATTCACTTATCTCCACGTTGTGGTTTAAATTGAGAATAAAACTCAGTAGTTATTTGTTAAAACACATGCTAACTTAGTGGTCTATGAAATCCATAAGTTAATATAAATTAATCAAATCCACTTCTGGTTTATCAGCAATAGGGAAACTAAAACCTTAACACATAATGACTTATCGTTTCACACTTATTTTCAAAAATAACTTATGTTCTACTAGGTTTATTTGCTACTGTTATCAATTTCATTCTTTTGGTTACTTTATGTTGACAAACAGTGCAAGTATAAATTCGAAGACTTGAGTAACATATATTTAAACCACGTTAAAGTCAATCAATATGTTCAGGCCTCTTGATTGACTTACCATTCTTACTTACTATCTTGTGAATAACCTCATCATTAGTCACAATGTGATTACATCAACATGTGCGGATGATGTATTGAGAAAAATCCTACGGATTAAGTGTTTGCAACCCGATTCAAGTCTTTCAATGGGTAAAAGTGGGTATATTAAATACACCATAGTTGGTACAGACATGTCAAAAATTGAAAATTACCAACCCATCAAAAATTCAAGTGGTTAGTTGATGCATTCGACAAATTCACCCCATACACAATGAGAGACCTGGAAATGACACAGATTCATAGTGATAGAAATACAACTATTAATTCGTATAAATATGTTTATAGATAATAAGCATTAAAAGATGTGTTAGTTTACCTATCTTTAAAAAATTCATTCACGATTCGATCGCCAAGTGGATTAATGGCTAATTCTGGAATTAATAGAAAATCATGACGCCTGAAATATCATAAAAAACAGGGTAAGTGAATGAAATAAATGCAGAGAAGTGCGTTCAGAGCAACTTTTTTCACGTACATTAAAATATTTAATGCCCAAATTAAATGTAAGTAACTAACCAACCAACCAACCGTAGCTGTAACCACTACGTGGTACTGACAACTGCATAACATGATAGCCTAATCGAGGCACATTGGCTGAGACTTGTAAGATCCTACCAAGTCAAGTATATCGACTGTAGAGAAGCTAAATCAATGTCCAAAAAACTAAGTTGCACAGCCAACTGTACTAGATTGTGACGGCAGTACGGGATTTCCAGCAAACAAACAGCCTTTCAAGCGGCGCTTTTTTACCACAACAGACAAAAGGTCACTAACTTCTAGCCTGAACCATGTTAGTAGATGCAGACTACTTGGTTGAGGTCCGTGTGACTATCGTAACCAATGGTTGGAGACTCCGAGTGACATCATGAGATTAACATAAATAATACTCGAAAAAATGTCGTATACAACAGGACTTAAGCAGTTATCTGTCGAAATTTGCGACTGCGCTCCCAGGCGGCCAAAAACATGACTACCCCAGTATCCTTTTCAGATCCATCAAGAAGTATCCTTTTATGTTGTAGGAACCATAAGCTGAGAGCTCCCTTTATACCTTTAACAGCACTTAAGATCATCTCTTCATCACATGTTAACTTAAAAACCAATAAACATGTATTCATATCAACCGGGGTTGCTTTGAGTTAAGAAGAATGGCAATACGGTCAATGGATGGGAACTTATAAGGTTGCTTTTTGGTCCCTAAAACCAAGCATTTTTTTAAACCTTGAACAATCTGTTAGTCGTCTATAGATTTAACATACATTTTGTCTTATTTGTTCACGATTGAATGTTCTATTAAAAACCAACAATTTTCACAACCCTCTTTTTCAGTGGCTAAAAACTAGCTTTACATTCCATCATTTTACGAGTCATTTGAAACTGTCTATGGGCTTAAGTTTCACCCATTCGCCATTAAGCAACCGCCTAGAAGCCGTATGTTTTTACCTGAGTTGTTGCAACATCAATGTGACAAATTCTCGGTAGTCGACATACACTTCGTAATAATATACTGTTAACCCCAAACGACAAGTATTAATAGTATAGCATGAACTTCTGAATTAACCAAACACTTATTTCAAACAAACAACTCTGTGTAATTAACAACAAGCCTTCATAACGGTTTAGTGCCAATTTAGATTAAATGAAACCGCATAGCTCCTCCTCAGGTCTAACAAAAGGGTTTACTTTCCCCGAAACTGTTCCTTTCGTGAAGAAATTCAGACTGAATTTTTTTGAGACTCTATCTTATGTCTGCACTTTCATGAAGGCGCTTACCTTTTGACTAAACAAATATATACTAGCAAACTCACTTATATTCGCCTAAATATTTAGGTGTAAAGTTGGTTATTATGTTGAAATCTGAACGAAATCCTCGTTAGGCAGGGACATTATCTTAAGAAACAAAGACGTTTTCCAAACTAAGTGAAATATAAGTTAACTGGGAGCATTTTAGTCACATTTTATTACTAAAAACAACTTCGAACTAATGGTAAGTCAAACTAACCTCAAGTACCCGGCGTTCGTCTTGTCCAAAGCCAAATATCTATTGTACAATCGATAAATTTGTTTTGGAGAAACTTATGGAAAGGGTTGAGAGATGTATATCAAACCTACATCCAGTTTCTTGTGCAATTTCCTCAACCTCGGACTGATCAAGTGTATTCGAAGTATTCGCCCCCATTGACCTTCCGCCAAGGTCGCTCAAAGGACTTCATTCAAAAGAACCAGTCTTCTGTGATGAGGATTGTAAGTCGCTAGACCTGTGTTAATCTTTGCAGCTTGTTTTCCGGAGAATTTTCATTTTCTTCTGGAAAGTATCCACTGACGGGACCAATAACAGTTATTCACGTAAGATGTTCCAGTCGTTAAATTATATTACCAGTGAAATGTCACTGGGCCCTATCCAAGTCATCCGGCAGCTGGATCACTGAATATCAAACAGTTCACAGATTCTCATCAAGATTTAGGAAAACCAGCGCGCGTCAGTTAATTGCACTCAGTGGACTAGCCCATGCCATGGTGGTCGTACTCTGTTCATTGTACCTAATCTTACTAGCATATTTTCGTGATAAAGTTGTTTCCGTTGTGCAGTCACCAAGGTCACCATGGCACCCGCATGTAACGAAACGCCAACCGCCGTTAGGTGACAACCTTGAGGTGTAACTTCGATGTTAGCTGGTTGGTTGAGCCATTATTGTTTAGCTCGTGTTGTGTCTTACTTTGATTACGAGAACACGATTGATTTAATAAAAACAACTATTATTATCATGACCAATTGTACCTGTGCTTGTTTTAATGTACTTTTGTTTAACTGTGCTAATGACAGCCATACCACTACTCCATTACTCTCCATTACTTTTTCCGCGGAATGTAACCTCGTACGTTCGTACTCTTGCCCGCTCATTCCACTTGTCCTTCTTTTGGCACGATCTCGGTATTCGTTCGATACCACGAGATCGCCAACGAAATAAATCTGGTTACGTTCAATCTTTGCCTTCTGATTTGTTTGGTACGCGTCTTCTTGTAGTGGTGTTCATAGTCAATCTCGACCCCACGCTACACTCGATTACAAACCTAACCTTTCGACACAGATCATTTACGAAAGATGGGTGTAAGACTTCGTGGAACTCTTGAGTAGACCAGCACCATTGCATCCATCAAACATCGAAGCAGAACACATACAATCTCTTATAGATGTCACTTTTGTTGTGTGTGCTACTGAGGTCGATAGACGTTAGTAGTATGTATCATCAATAGAGTGTGACAAACCTTGCTGCAGAAGGTTAAGAATATCAAAGAAAAGAGGATGAGAACAGAAAATGATTTCTGTCAAAGTAAAGGAACAGTCAAGCTTGAGACAATCGATTGGCATTTTGCAAAGGATGTATTTATTGTATGGTTCTCTGATTTTACTAAGACGTTCTGTAATTTTATGTTCAAATATATTCGGTTATCCTCTCATATGCTCTCTTTCACTACAACTCCACAAACGATTTAATAGATCAGAATGGTCATCATACAAATCAGCAGTGGGGAGGCAGTAGGACATGGTGCAAAACCAACTGGAGCAACGAAGTCAGTCATGGAAGTATCTGCGAACATACATCACATTCTATTCAGGAAGATTTTTTCACTGATAAAAAGTCAGTTGAATGGAACTCACCACTATACATCAACTTCCTTCATTATAAGAAAGCATTTAAATGTATGTATAATAAGACATTATGTAAACTTTTTCGACTCTGTGGAGTACCTGAGAAGATCAACATTATTCGGAACTCATATGAGGGAATGCACTCTAAAGTCATATATGGAAGACAGCTGACAGTTGTATTCATATTGAGGAGAGAAGTCAAGGAAAGCTGCCTACTCTACCCCTGTCTTTTTATTCTGGTGGACGACTGCACAATGAAGACCTCCATGTCTGAGTAGAAGTACGGAATACAATGGACAGCTTTCATGCAACTAGACGATTTGGGCTTCACAACTGACCTGGCTATTCTATCCCATACACACGAACAAAGGCAGATGAAAACAAAAAAATTAGTAGAAGCCTCTGTATCATTAACACTCAACATACACAAGGGAAAAAGCAACATTATTATGTACAACACAAAATACTAATTTAATCACACTTAATGAAGAAACTCTGAAAAGAGTGGAATCTCTCATGTACCTGCCTTGGCAGCATCATTGATGAACAGGGAGAATCAGATGCAGGCGTAAATATGAGGATCGGTAAAACAAGTAAAGCATTTATACAGTCGAACAACATATGGAACTAAAAACAACTGTCAGTTAATCATTATCAAAGCCACAATCATCAATACGAACGTCGAAGCAGTTCTACTGTACGGAGCTGAAACTTCATGAACTACCACAATCATCATCAAAATGGTACAAGTATTTTCAAACAATTGTCTACTCAAGAAGTCCAATTTCCGTTGGTCGGATACCATCAGCATCAGTATACTGTGGGAGAGAACGAACCAGCTTTCAGTAGAAAAAGAAATTAGAATAAGGCGTTGGAAGGGGATAGGACATACATTTCGGAAATACTCAAACTGCATCACTAGGCAAGCGCTAACTTGAAATCCTTTAGGAAAACGTAAAAACAGAAGACCAAAGTGTGCACTATGTCGAGAATTGGAAGCAGATATGAAAAGGTCGAACAGCAACTTGAAACAACTGGAAGGGATTTTCTAGGACAGGGTTGGATGGAGAATAGTGGCGGACAGCATATGCTCCTCCACGAGGGGTAACACGCGTGAGTAATAAAATGTAAGTGTGACCAGACATTGTGACCTGTCGTTAAGGGTTTGATATTTATTGCTAATATTCATCAACAACGAACACTAGACCAACTTAAAAATTGAGATTGCCAATCCAATTTACATAAAACTTTAAAATACTATTAACAATAACGAAAAGCGATGACACTGTCCTCGCTGTCTTTCTTTCTAAGCGCTAAGAATATATATGGATTACATTCACTTAAATCTTAGCATCGAGAAATTAATATAAGTGTAGGATCCAAACTACGGTTTGGATGTTGAAGAATAGCCGACCGGGGATTTTAGACACGCGCCCTTTCCCGTCGAAATCAGAACAAGTAATCGGGTAAATAGCGGTTCTATAATTCATAATAAATTTAATGTAAATCATTACCTAAACAAATATTATCACCCGGCTATTCAACCAATGATTGTTCAATCAATTAAATCAATCACCACAAATAAATGTTATTCTATCCTGTCTGGATAGATCACGTACAGATTCGTTCAAAAGGTAATAATTGGTCGCTCTATAACACAGAGTGTTTTCAATTCTGGAAGAGTGCTTCAATTCACAACCAAAATGCACAATTCCAGTCAACACAGGTCAAGCAATCAAAAGCAGGAACAAACCAAAATGGCTGCCGCCCAGACTTAGTATGAAGTAAAACAACATAAGTGCAGTTCGGGAAGAAACATGGGGAATTAGTGAAGGTGTAGTAAAAACGAAAACCATAATAAAATACAAATATTAACAATTCAAATGTAGTCAAAAAGTTAACAATGTACAACTAATGTGATCAATAGGAATAAAGTGTAAGTATATACATGGAGGGATTTTCACCAACACATAAAACCTTCAAAATGGATCTTACACCGGCCCCCAAAATCCCTCCATACCACACAAGCTACCTTGACGCCTACGGTCATGGTTCATTATATAACATGTCACACCATAGGAACGAGTAGGACTTACAACAGTACGCCTACTCGACCTAACTACATTAATAACACGAGGAACTAATTCGAGCCTTCAAGGAGGCATAATCTACGTATGTCTCTCCTGACTAATCCACCGTTCGTACGAACAACCACTGTTCTAACTCTTCCATCGTCATCTATTTCACAATCTTCAACTACGCCTAAGGGCCATTTTCCACGATTCGATATGTCCGAAGCTACGATCACTACATCCCCTTTCTGAAAATTGCTGTGTTCAACTAACCACTTTTGACGTTTTTGTAGGGACGGTAAATACTCTCTTAACCACCTTTTCCAAAACACATTAGCAAGATGATTAATCTGTTTCCAACGTTTGTCATATTTATCTCTGATGCTACCTTCTTCGACTATTCCGTCACATTCTCTCAATAATAACAAACTATTTGGCGACAAGGCTAGTTTGTCGTTAGCATCTTGAACGACCGGAGTTAAGGGTCGATCGTTCAATATCCTTTCAATCTCGATCAAATGTGTTTAAAGTCTCATCGGTTAGTGTCTGCTCTCTAGTTATCAACAATAACAATCGGCGTATGGACCTAATCATCCTTTCCCAAACTCCACCCCTGTGACTGGATTAGGGCGGGTTAAAATGCCACTGAATTTGTCTAGCTGACAGTTCTTTGTCTATTTTCTGTTGATTCAACTGTTGCACAAATCTCCTTAATTCAGAAACCGTACCCACGAAATTTGACCCATTGTCACTGTAAATTTCGGCAGGTTTCCCTCTTCTTCCAATAAAACGTAACAAGGCCATTATAAACGAATCAGTATTCAAACTATGTGCCATTTCAATATGTACTGCTCGGGTTTGCAAGCAAGTAAACACACATCCATATCTTTTTTCTAATGACCTTCCTCTTTTGACAAAAAGAGGTCCAAAGTAGTCTACTCCCACGGCTGAGAAGCTATACCATCCTTGTTGCACTCTACAAGCTGGAAGTGGTGCCATCAATTGTTGCCCTGTAACCATCGTATACCGCCAGCATGTCACACACTTTCCTATCACTCTCTTAACCGTGCTGGTTCCTTTTATTATCCAATACCTTTTTCGAATCGTGGCCAGTACTTGTGACGTTCCTGTGTGCCCTTGTTCCTTATGATAATGTCTAATTATCATTTCTGTCACTAAGTGTCGACTGGGCAATATTATTGGATGTTTAAAGGCATTTGAGAAATCTGAGTAGCTTAGTCGGCCTCCAACACAGAGTAACCCATCAAGCATTATCGGTGATAAGCCCTTCAGATCATTGTGACTAACTACTTTACCCTTGTTTTTAAATCCACTAAGTATTTCTCCATACACTTCTTTCTGAACCATCAACAAAATTTTACGCTTGGCGATGTCAAGTTCTTTGAACTTTAAACATCCTAGATGAACGGATCCTTCATGACTCAGTGAACGAAGCACCATCAGAAATTCTATGAACCTTCTAAGCCATGCTACG